ATCCTTACATGCCGAAATGCGAATGCGGGCATGAGGTTTTTTCTCGCGAGATAACTGAGGAGTTCATCTCCCTCTGCCAAAAGAACTCCATTTCCAAGGAGACGCCCTATTCCGAGGCGAAGAGTAGACGGTTTGACGAAGTCATAATTTTTAGTGGTAAGAACTTCGCTGAGCGCTTTGGCATTTGTGACCATAACTCTCTCCGAATTTAAGATTCCCAGATATCGTATGATGCCGTCATTTGGAACTTCCTGTATCCTGTTACATCAATCAATATATGTTTGAGTATATAAGGATTGAAGCTTACCAGTCAAGCATAGGCTGTCCAGTCGGCTCTCCAGAAATTCTCTTCCAATGACCATTCCACCAACTACCACCTTTCGGCGAAGGCAGATGTCTAAGTGATGAAAAGTAGAAAGGATATAAGATTACTCTCCATATCACAAAGCCTATGAACTGCAACAGATATAGTTGCACAAATGTTCCTAGGTAACCTGGGCGTGAGGATGACAATGCATCTGGTTTATAATGAACCAGTGCGTACGAAAGGATGGTCGGTAAGACCAGCAGTCTTTTGAAGGGAATAGACATGGAGACGGACAAATTGAAACTATTCTAAAAATTGGCATATGTTGGCAGAATGTCAAGTACTTAAATGGTGGGCGGGGTCGGGTCGAGAAATGCGCCGCCTCCGCAATCTACTTCCTAAGCTGAAGATTCAACGGAAATAGTAAGGTAGTATAAAATGCCTGTGGAAATGTAACAATGTAACAACGTAATAATTTGCCACCGAAGAACCTTTTATAAAAGAGAATAGATGTGAATCAGACCCAAAGGCACATCTGCTCCATCGCAAGTTTCGAATGTCGTGCTAATTGTATGTAACTGGAGACCCGGGCGCAGACGATTCCACTTGTCACTCGCGAAAAGAGACTCCAATAACTGACTCTATGTACTTATCGTAATCCCGTATTGAAAAGGAAATGAAATGGAATGAAAGATGCCGTAATTAACATAAGGATACGATGTTACTGATGAGTTGCTTCGAAAGAATAGAAACAATAAGATTGTAATCATGGCTCAAAATAACTCGAGATGAAAGGAAGTTTTGGATCTCATCACCCACCAGACCTCAACGTGTGGTATACCCTTTTCAGATGGAATTCCAACAAGGATATGGTAGATCTTGCCCCGTATGAATGCACCAGGAACCCACTCTTTTCACTCTTTCCTCACCTGGGCCGTATCTGTCGCCAATGGATTGTCAAGCATTACGATAGAATCAATACGGTTAAAGCTTGAATCTGACCTTAACGTGAGTAGTATTGGCTTTTCTAGCGGACGGAACGGACCTCCACCAAAGATACCGGAACAGCCTTTTCCGACTGTGTGTTACATAATCCCCCGGGAAAATGTTCGAGGTCCGGCCCCGCTTCTTTGTTGATTGGTTGATCGTGCATCCACGAGGCCAATGTGAAGGATTGTAGGATAGAATCAACTTCCTCTCTAGAACAACTACACTAGCGTACCTATCGAAATTCGAAAAAATACAATATGATTGCTTTCATGCTCAAAACTTCAGACAAGCTCTTGTTATTATCAATAAGATCTATCTACCAACTCTTCCAACGTTTCCTGACGTGATATCCTGAATCCACCAGGAACACAGTCTGGAAAAGCCCAAACCCCTCAAGAACATACTTCTTGCTGATAGCTTGTAGGCTGCTTTTCATCTCATCACCATATTTACATCAATTGAAAAATCCCGTGCTCTTTCTAGAGTCATCAACTTCATCGATAGTTTTGGCCGCTCTATCCATGTATTGTCAGATACTTCTACCTAGGAGTATGCCAATATATACATAGAACAAAAATACCTTTGCTAAATATCAAAACCTATTAAGTTATCTCCATATCGCTGATTTGTTGATAATTGGGTCATAGAAACGCCAGTATATCAAAATCCAACACATACCTTTAATATCTTCCAAGGATACAACCGCACTTCTAAGAAAGCGTTTTGCAAATGGGCAATAGAAAATTGAAAGGATGTAGCAGCAGCAAAGATCTAGCGAACTCCATCGCTTGCATCTTCTGAATGTCGGGGCTTAATATCCATGAAAGATTTGAAAACAACAGATGCCTTGTATTCCTTGATGTATTCAATTTTTTTTGCAATAATAAACCTTCTAGATTGAAGATGTTATACCCAACTTCATTGAAACAGATGAAACCTAAATATTTCCTATACTGGCGAGTACCGTGAAGTTTTCGTCCAGAGTAGAAATCGGATAATTATATAATGATTCCGGGCCATTTTTTTATCTCTTAGGAAAGTTCTTATATCAAACTGTATTTGTTACTTCCTCCCTTGAGTGCGGTCCACAGGTCCAAATCCGCATTGGCATTGATGATTCGACCATCTGTAAGAATCATTCTGAAATTACCGGTCAATTTCGCAAGCTTTGAATACTCTTAATCACATCTGCATAAAATAATTATTCTACCCTTACCGAAAATCCTGACTGCATGCACTCTCATATGTTCAATGTCCTATCTTGCAGAGCTGGTGAGCCGTCCATGCTTCGCTTCCCACGATAATTGGACTTTAGAAAATGTCATTTAGACCGTACTTGTTCTTAGTAGACAAAAGTTTTGCATAGTTTTCACCATAGAAAACCTGCTGCCAATTCGGCTAATCGAAAGCGGCTTTATTGAGGTACGCAGCAGGATTAGGAGTTAGTTTTTGCAGGGCCGGGACTAGCACGTTGATCACGGTTTTTTGGCTGAGAAAATAGCGGTCATATTGGATTGATTGTAAAGTCTGATTCATGCTGCTAGTCAGGTTTTCGCAGTATTACATTAGGCTTTGTACAAAGGTGAGAACGACTTGCGTGCCCAGGAACGCCAGAAACAAGGAGTTGCGCCATTCTGGATGAACAGCATTAGAATGGGTAGGTGCCTGGCTAACATTCATGGAGACACCTGCCAGGATGCCACTATTATTCAAGATAGATTTGATGCCATTAACTAAGGAGATGGAGGAATTATTGGATGCCACGAGAGAACGTGGAATGATATTTCCTCCAAGATTGAGCTCCGTGATATTCATGTTAGGGTTCAGAATATAGAAGGCATCCTGAAACGCAGGGAAGTCGACAGAAGAGAAGCTATAGTCAGCTGTTAGCTGAAGGCTACAAACATGGGGAAACGGTTAGATCTGCCATGCTTACCGTTTTAGATAGTTCTATGAAGGTAAGAGTAGCCCTGACGGTCGGCATTTTTTTATGCAGTTCCAGTCATGGATAGCACAGCACCCTATTTGCCGTCCCCACCACCAGTAAGAGCCCAGTAGAAATCCGAATTTAACTTAGCTCCATAGTGAGAAGTTCTCCTGTTTCAATGACGACCTCCTACTCTAACACTTGATCCGCTGCAAATCCAAACTTGGACCTAAGCGGGCTGGTCCCGCCTCCCTGAGTGTAGCCTCGACTGGAAGAGATGTGTATTGCTACAGCTATACACACTCGCGAGTACGATCGGAGTCAATATCGGGCAATTGGCCACCTCGGCCTTTTCATATGGGACGAATGTCTTGACTCCACAGCTATTTTACAGTGCACATCATTAAAAACAAGCCATCCTCGCATTTATCGAAGCAACAAACTTAGATGCAAATGGACTTCTGGTTGACATGCAGTCTTATCAGCAATCCGTGATCGCAACGACGTATGAATGGCCATCATCAATTTTCAATTTACGGAGGTATGGCATCGGCCGCTGCCTTCCGAAGAAAACAAGGTCAGGAAATGATAACACGCGGATTACTCTTGGCCCACTCATGTCCTTAGGCTAGTGATAACCCCAAAGGTTAATATTTAGGGAAGAAGAAATATCCCCAGTTGCTATTGTCATAATAGTGTCGTCTCTATCGCAGGCTCTTCCTTGTGGCAGCCAATGGTAAATAGTATAGCGATTGCCGGCTTCAGCACCAGAAGCGATTCGTAGAGTTTAGAGGCATACCAAAAAAGGGTATTTCCATTCGTTCCTATTTTGAGCTTAGGGCGAGCCCGAAGATATTCAATAGATACTTATCTAAGAAAGATATCCCGGGATCCTTTGCCATTTAGGACAATATTAAACTCAAAGCGGAACATTCGTAGACCAACTAATTCTCATTGTACTTGTGGTTTTGGCTCACATCACCTGACGATTAGATTGCGATCCTTCCGCTCATTCACCTCCAATCGTATCTTCCAACTCAAAAATAATGGTGTCTAAATACCAGCACCGAGGACATACAAAACAATGTTACAGTATACAGTTAGTCTCTCATGCTACAAAGATGGGAATGTCAGAGTGCCATCATATTTCCCATAATATTTCAGTGTAACGGACTTAAAATGCCCGCCCCCGCATCAAAGGTGTCGTTAAAAAGAGGAACATGACATGTTTCGATACGTCGTGGTTTGTCTTTCGGGGGCAGCTAACAAACTATGAAGGAGATATCAAAAAAGTCAAGTACTAATTAATATCCGTCTTACCCCATATCTAATGATTCATTTGATAGCAGCAAATGAATAGGTACAGAATCCCTTGATGTAGTGAGGTCAGGATTGTAGCTCAGAAGAGGTTGAGCTTCGTTAACACCATCATATAACTTCGATTCTAATTAACCATATTCAGCTCTAGCTTTTTCCGCTTCCACTCGACTTTCGGAAATATAATTGGCTAGAAATCAAAAGTGGATAACACAGCGGTTAAAAGGTATCCACTTTACTAATTCTTCCAATCATACTCCGTCAGCTTCCCCAACTTTTACCTAGATTAATCAGGTTAGATGGGATCCGAGCTATCTGGGATTAATAAAACGGTCGACTTGCCTTTGAAGTAATATGCTTTGCATTCTGTACATAATCTTCCGATTGTGTAATCAGTAATCTCAACCTTGTGATCTTGGAAATTCTCAACAAAGAAACTCTGCAATATTAGTAATATAGGTAATACCTACTAGATAGGTAATACAAAATTGTAGGAAATTCCTCTTATCTCTCATATTTCCCCTCTCTCTTAATATCAGCTTTTCCCTTCATTGTCTTAGAGTTACGTACAAAGTATCTTGAAGAGAATCCAGAGATACACCTGCATTGCCAGGATAGGAAAGTGCAAGCGTTTCTCCGCGCCCGGCTAACTTAAGCCGTTGCTAACAGCTCCAAGCCCCTCCACTTATCCCAATTACACAAGTAGGTGTTATTATTGTTGTTGTTTTTGAGGTGACAATCCTACGATACTTGGAGAGATACAACCAAAGTTCTCTTCAAATCTCTGTCAACTATAACGTTGTGAGCAAAAATGCGTCGAACCTTGACAAGAGGCATTTCTACTGCCGCGGCTCGCCATACCCCCTCCTCGGTACGACCTAGAGTAGCATTCAGTATGCCCTCCTCCTCTGAGACCTCCAAGATCGCTACCCGCAGACTCCATGCTACAGCTCAACATCTCAAACCTGCTGCAGCTCTAGCTTTCAGTGCCGACAATTACCCTACGACTCACGAAAAAATTCAAGATGTCCAGGATACGCCATACTTTGTCGACAACAAATTCCTCAAATCTGAATCTACACAGTTCATTGATTTACACGACCCGGCAACAAATAATCTCGTAACGAGAGTACCACAAAGCACAGATGCCGAGCTCAAAGCTGCGGTTGACAGTGCGGTTAAGGCATTCCCAGGATGGAAGAACACCAGCATAATGGCAAGACAACAAATTATGTTTAAGTTCACACAATTAGTACGGGACAATTGGGATAGATTGGCTGCCAGTATCACATTGGAGCAGGGTAAAACCTTTGCTGGTATGTTACTAGGTGGTTTGATTTACGCCTCAACGCTGACTTGCCCGCAGATGCGAAAGGAGATGTTCTTCGTGGACTGCAAGTCGCCGAAACAGCATGCGCTATTCCTCAACAAATGATGGGAGAAGTCATAGAGGTAGCAAAGGATATGGAGACCAGAAGTTACAGGGAGCCATTGGGAGTTGTAGCCGCCATCTGCCCATTCAGTGAGTCCTGGTCATTTTCCGGACTTGGAGCAATCTAACATCCAGTAGACTTTCCTGCAATGATACCATTATGGTCTATACCAATTGCCTGTGCAACTGGAAACTGCCTTATTGTAAAGCCCTCCGAACGAGATCCTGGTGCCGCAATGATTCTTGCGGAACTCGCCCAAAAGGCTGGCTTCCCCAATGGAGTACTCAACATTGTCCACGGTGCTTCGAAGACGGTCGATTTCATCATCGATGAACCAGCTATTAAAGCTATCAGTTTTGTCGGAAGCAATCGCGCAGGAGAATACATTTTCACCCGGGGTTCTGCTAATGGCAAGCGTGTGCAGGCAAATTTGGGCGCCAAGAATCATTGTGCCGTCTTGCCGGATGCGAACAAACAACATGCACTTAATTCAATTGTTGGCGCAGCTTTTGGTGCAGCTGGTCAAAGATGCATGGCTCTTAGTACCTTGGTCATGGTCGGGGAGACTAAGGAGTGGCTGTCTGAGCTAGCGGAAAGTGCCAAAGCACTAAATGTGAATGGTGGATTTGAAAAGGGAGCGGACCTCGGCCCAGTCATCTCTCCACAGAGTAAGAAAAGGATCGAAGATTTGATTGCTAGTGCAGAAGAGGAGGGCGCCACAATCTTACTGGACGGTAGAGGTTACAAGCCAGAAAAATATCCCAACGGAAATTGGGTCGGCCCCACGATCATCACCAACGTCAAACCTCATATGAAGTGCTACACGGAAGAAATCTTCGGTCCAGTACTAGTCTGCTTGAATGTGGACACTCTTAACGAAGCCATTGACCTCATCAACGCGAACGAATACGGAAATGGTGCCGCTATCTTCACACGATCTGGAGCAACAGCAACACACTTCCAGAAAAACATCGAGGCAGGACAGCAGGGGATAAATGTACCAATCCCTGTTCCTCTCCCTTTCTTCTCCTTCACTGGAAACAAGAAGAGTGTTGCTGGAGGTGGTGCAAATACATTCTATGGCAAACCAGGACTACAATTTTACACACAGCAAAAGACAGTTACCAGTTTATGGAGAAGCGAGGATGCAATTTCTAAGTCTGCTGATGTATCAATGCCTACTCATAGCTAGATATCTTGATTTTATGAAAATTTAATGATTTTAACGATCTGATTTACAAGCGACGTACAATTGTACTTCTGGAAATGCACTTTTTAATCAACGACTAATCTCTTCGTGTCCCATTCTCCCGTCTTAATGGAATTTACCAAAGCAATATTCACAAAATAAGCTACTCTGGACACATCGGTAACTATCGCCTGAGGTTCCTTATTCTAGCGGGTTCAATGTTCACGGCAAGAAATACATGTAAGGGCTGATGATGTATAGTTCACTGAAATTAATCAACCACGAATGTTCAACTGTGTGATATAGGTTGCAGTAGAGATAGATACGGGAAATGTAGAAAATAAGTATTGAGGTAACAATGGTGTAATAATGTTCATGTTGAGTAATCTTGACTCAGGGCCAGAAAGCGTCGGGTCCTTAGTAAGTGAAGGTGTTAGCTTCACCCGAATGTTCGGAACTATAAACGAGAAAGGGTAGAGCTTGATTAGTGTACAGAGTAGCTAGCCAGCTTGCTTAGTGGGGTCCTTACTACTTATTAGTACTATTGCTATGCCTTCAAAGCTTCTATGAACGTGTTTAATATATTTAAGTTAATACTAGAGGAGAAATGTAACAACACATTCGCTGCTATTGAGAACGACAACACCACGATTCCAAGGCCCACAGGAAAGCGGCAGGGACCGAGCTTCGCTAAACATGGATGGCATGGCTCCGTTGGTAGCGGTCAATTTTGTAAAGAAAAAAGATACCGCGGTCGACGGTAATCATCTGTTGAACAGTGCAATTTACTGGAGTCAAAAATACCTAGAGGGACTCCGTATATTACTGACCATCTGCAATTCGAATGTTCAGATTAAAAGTTAGTGGTATTCCAAATGCAATTTGGACATCCCACCCTAGTACAATTATAGACATTCCCAGTTCCTTTCCCATTCCCATTCAAAGTCGAGCCAGACAATTCAGGAGATCATTCACCCGTCTGACCAACAGCTGGCCTCACCAACCAAAGCATCAACTACCCCTGCACCTACCGAATAAAGGCGTGACTGCCGCGCACGACAAACTGGCGAACAAAAACAACCCCACCATACCGCTTAGAGTGGTGCAAATATCTCGTCACCTCTCAACCAATTCATCTTCAGACAACAAAACACCATTAAATACAACAATGGCTTCCAAATATACTGTCAGAAAGATCGGAGCTCCAAACACTTTGGAGCATCGTATCTATATCGAAAAGGATGGAATCCCAATTTCCCCATTCCACGACATTCCTCTTTATGCCAATGAGCAACAAACCATCTTGAACATGGTGGTTGAGATCCCAAGATGGACAAACGGCAAAATGGAGATCAGCAAAGAAGAGGTTTTTCTTACTCACCATCCCATCTTACACTGTCAGCTAACATGCTATTAGATGCTTAACCCAATCGAATGTCCCCCTGTCGCTAAACTCAAATCTTATGCTAATAATTTCAACAGAAGCAAGATGTCAAGAAGGGCAAGCTTCGTTTCGTCCGCAATTGCTTCCCACACAAGGGTTACCTCTGGAACTACGGTGCTTTCCCTCAAGTAAGATTCGGAACATATATACATTATTTACGACTGGAGCTGACGGGACATTAGACTTGGGAAGACCCTAACGTTGTCCACCCAGAAACCAAGGCCAAAGGTGACAATGACCCATTGGACGTTTGCGAGATTGGTGAATTAGTCGGATACCCTGGCCAAGTCAAACAAGTTAAGGTTCTTGGTGTTATGGCCTTGCTTGATGAGGAAGAGACCGACTGGAAGGTCATTGTCATCGATGTTAATGACCCCTTGGCACCTAAGCTCAACGACGTTGAGGATGTTGAAAGACACCTTCCAGGTCTCTTGAGAGCTACAAATGAATGGTTCAGAATCTACAAAATCCCAGACGGAAAGCCAGAGAACCAATTTGCTTTCACTGGAGAGTGCAAGAACAAGAAGTAAGGCTTGCTAAATGAGTATCTTTGGCATTGTAAGCTAACGATGTTCTAGGTACGCTACTGACATTGTCCGCGAGTGTGCTGAGGCTTGGGAGAAACTCATCACCGGCAAGACCACCCCAGGAGATGTCTCAACGTAAGTTTTTTGTTATCTCCCTATGGCAGCTTTTTAACTAACAATTGTCAAGTACCAACGTCACCGTCAAGCACTCTACCAGCCGTGTTGAACCAAGCCAACTTCCTCCCATCCCAGCTAACGAGAACCTTGCTCCGGCTCCTATCGACCCAAGCATTGACAAGTGGTTCTTCATCTCTGGTGCTGCCGCTTAAATGCAAAATCCATGGATAAGGGCTATGAATTTCCAGGCATTACCACCGGATTACCATAAAAGTTACGTTGCAGCATTCTATGAAGCGAAGCACTACACAAGTCTTTACTATTGGCTGTAGATACAATACGAAGTTTTCCAAGTGCTAGTTCTTGCACATCCAATCTCACTCCTGGTATTCGATCCGTGCAACTGTGATGTGTTATCAAATCTTTGCTCTTCATATTCCCTGGTTTCAGATAACTTGATGGGCTTTCTCAAAAATGCATGAGGCTGTTGGACCCGCATATGAGCCAATCCAGCCAGAGAACGTGGCATTATGTTGAGAAGTGAACATTATCTGTCTTAGCATTGGTATAAGATGTAACCTTAAATGCTCGGCGCTAGGGACCTTGGGTGCGATGAGCGCGTAGAGCGTCCTAACATTGCGCCCGTATCAAGCCTCCAAAGCTTCTCCCTGACTTGTGATTCCGCCCAGCCCGCAGGCCCGAGTAACCCACCACGGAGAAAACCGGCACGGATTGGAGGATATTGAAGATCCTACAACACGTATATCCTGTTCACTCCATAGACATGCCGTACTGACTGGAAGTATGGTATTGTCATCAATCATACGGCCTCAAAACGCCTTCCCACATGCAATAAATATACATTCCAGCATTGTACATCAGTTCCCTGTCAATTCCTCCTGCCTTGCCAATATCCGTGAATGCCTATCTACCTCATCGGATACTCCCCTAATACCGAGCTTTTCTGCGTCCAAATTCATCTCTTTCCCATCCTCTGTAAACCATAGTTAGAATTTATGAATAAAAGTTTGACTTCGTCGAAGACATACTGAACTTCAAGCGCACAAGACTCGGCTCTTTAGATGCTCTTGGTAGTATCTTTGTATCAATCTTCATGGTCTGTCGTGCATTTGGCGGAAGAACCGAGAGAAACAATCGTGCAGTTTTAGCTTTGGGAGAGAAGGGATTGAAGACGGTCGAGACTTCCGTGATGAATCGGGTGATCATATTTGCTAGCACAGTCTCCTAGTATACAATCAGCATCTGATGATCAAACATATTGAATTGAACTTACATGAGATTTCCAATGTACTATGAAGGTTTCCGAGGCGTAGTTGTGGTCTGGATGCTCACTATGCTAGGCGCAAAATAAAATTCTCGGTAAATTCCGAGCCTCACAAGTAGCTACCAATTTCTCATGACGTGACATCAAGAATTCACAACCAGAACACCTACGAAATTTGAGCAACCTGATATGTCTTTCGAATCTCTCTCCGAACGCCTTACGGTGCTGCAGGAATCAAATAGACAAGCCAGGGAGTTAATTCGCCATTTAGAAACTATTGAGTTTCAACCAGGTTCTATAACATTAGATGGCGATGATGATAATGTATTATTAGAGCTCTCTGCGGAGATTGCCCAGGTCCTGAAGGATCAGTCAGAGGACTTTGCGCGATTGCAGGAAGAAATTCTATCAATGCCTGTGGGACGGCCGAATAGTGAGTTACAAAAACAGAGAGAGGCGCTTGATGAAGCAGTGGAGATGGACATCGAAGATATTAAATCGTAAGACGCATATTTGCTCACTCCCATATATCATCTATTACAAACTAACCACCGAAATTTACAGACATCATAGAGCATTTTGCAAAGCCGAAATGAAAGCCAAAAAGACGCTCGAGGCTGCGAAAGTTTTGGAGCGACAACATATGCTCCAGGCAAGCTTAAATCCCTCTTCCGGTAGGTCAACTCCGAATTCGATGGAAAGACCTGCCGCTCGGCCAAAGTCGGAACTATCAAAGGAAGATAAGACGGTTAATGCTGCGAGTGACGTTACTCTGGCGCTTCGACGAACTCACGAAATGATGGCGGGCGAGTTGGAAAAATCACAATTCGCAAACGATACATTAAGGCAATCAACGGAGGCTTTAGCTCAGCTGAATGAAACATATTCTACATTGGATTCTCTATTATCGAGTTCGCGGAATTTACTTGGGACTTTATTGAGAAGCCAAAAGAGTGATACGTGGTATCTGGAAACGGCATTTTACGTTCTCGTTTGTACAATTGCATGGCTCATTTTCAGGAGGTTACTTTACGGACCATTTTGGTGGCTAGTCTATGCGCCACTGAAGTTGACGTTCTACACCTTGTTTGGCATATTTGGAATAATGGGTTCAAAGAGTGGTTCAGCTGTTGAAAGCAGGATCTCGATATTGAGTGCGCCGGCTACTTACGCGACTGTGTCAGCCAGGAGTGAAGGCGTTGCTTTAGATAATGAAGACCTTCCTGTCATTGACGTTGGAGACGGCAACAGGCAGTCGATAGAACCCGAGGCATCAACTATGGTTGAGGAAGTCGAACATATTATCGATGAAAGTCAGCACTATCATGCACCTGATAAGGAGGAAATCATCATAGAACCAGCATTGGACGAGTCTGCTGAATACGCACAGCCGGTACTGGAAGAAGATGTAGCTCGAAGTGAGCAATCAGATCCAGGGAATCCAAAGAAGAGGATGTGGGAAGAACCAATAGAAGCGGCTAAGGAAGCAGAGCGAATGAGAGACGAACTTTAAATTATCGAACGACATTTGAAGGAATCTGTTACCCCTATATAACATACAATTATACCCATTTATTTCATCAATTATACAAATGTACATTCTATCCTGACATAAAGTCTTGAATAATTTTATGCTGATCAAGGCTGCAGATTACTACAGTGTTTAGTAGTCTGTAGCACAGAATTCAAACGTTTCGAGATCCAAAAATTCTGAATCTTTGGTAGTGGCTCAATAATAAATTCAGTGAGTACATTGTTCTAACTGATTGCACTACATTCCAGACATCAAAAAATTCCGCCCAGCATAGAATATTTCAACAGCGACAAAAATCTCATCTACTAGCAAACTACCTACACATTGTCAATTAATAGGCTAGAAAATACTCTACCAATTATGAGTCAACTCCAAGTTTCCCGCTCACAAAAAGCTCGTGGTTTCAAAGACTTTTGTTCCAAGTATGTTGATTGGATAGGAGTGGATCAGCTGGAATTGTTTAACGACCAGTTATATGCTTTTATTTATGTTTTTTAGGTTAAGAGAAAAGAAATTTCTTTTTTCTTTTGATGATTATGGATTGAATGGAATAAATGATATAAGTGAAATAGTGTTGTTTCGGATTCAAGTGGATTCGAGACTTTATGGAGGATTTGAGTATTTGTTTATACCCATCTATATGCATAGTATCAATTGTTTATATGGTAACCAACCATCTCATGGGTTCGTTGAAAAGCTACCTAGTACATACACCAGTACCTAGGCAGGGTTTCTTACCGAGAAGGGGGGAGTCGCATTTTGTATCGATATCGCACATTCTCGTTCAATCATGCATAGGAAGATCGATCAGCTTGCTCATTGGATCGAACGACCTGAACTTCTACTTGAAAGCTCTCCAATCAACTCGATCAGATCTCTAGACAGGGGCAAAAATGCGCTTGTTTGAAACTCTCATGTTATTCTCCTTCACCTTCTCTATCCCTGGCGCGAGTATTCATAGGATTTCTTTGAGCACCTAGATAATTCTTAGTTCTTTAAGCTCCTTGTATCATCATGAGCAAATGAATCATCTATTTTCGACAATACGTTCTCTATCTGTGCTCTTTCTTTGTAAGGACACGGTGAATGAATGAAAAATCGTCTATTTATTAAATAGAGGACAATAGAATTTTTTCTCAGTCATCGTTTATTGTACTGGTACGCTCGAGGAATCATTTCTTTATTATTGAACAAAGAGAGGTTAAAGTCATATTGTTTTTCTATTCTTGTACAGTTTGTTTTTGCGCAGTATTTATTGCTTCGAAGTTCCTTCGGTTTCAAGTCCTTCCTTCGTTCATAGATCGACTCATCTTTTCAAGTTATTTTACATACACATACGTACATACAGCCGACCGTTCTTAACAAGCAAGGCATATAAGCATAGGATATTTTCAGCGGGTCTGATCATCAACGAACGTTACAACGCACACAGAACACATACACGAATAACAGGAACCTAATCCCAACAACTTCAAGATGCAGTTTACCACCAACCTCGCGCTCGCAGCATTCCTTTGCACTTCTACTATCAACGCACACTTGTCGCTCACTTACCCACCTCCTTTCCGTTCTGCTCTCAATCCTAATGCTGTCCAATCCCAGATCGACTACAGCATTACATCTCCGCTCTCATCGTCAGGTTCAAACTTCCCTTGCAAGTACAACGACATGGGTACACCCGGAGGAAAACCCGTCGCTACTTGGGCTGCAGGCGCAACTGCAAACTGGACAGTCGGAACCGGTGCTGTGCACGGTGGAGGATCTTGTCAAGTCGCGCTCTCCTACGACTCTGGCAAGACATTCCGAGTCATCCATTCCTATATTGGAAGTTGTCCTGCTGCGGTAGGTGCAAGTGCGGACTTTACTGTTCCTGCCGATGCTCCAGCCGGAGAAGCCATGCTCGCATGGACTTGGCAAAATCAAATCGGCAACCGTGAATTTTACATGTCTTGTGCTTCGGTTACCATCGAAAGCTCTGCATCGAAGGTTCGCGCTGCTCCAGCTGTCGCCTTTTCTTCCCGTCCTGATCTCTTCCTCGTTAATCTTGGAAATGGATGTACATCTGTGGAAAGCAAGGCCGTCAACTACCCAAATCCAGGTCCAGATGCAGATGTCACACGTAAATCCTCAGAATCAGGTACCTTTACCGGAACTTGTGGTCCTGTCAATGGTGTGGCTTCATCTGGTTCTGAGGCAGGCTCATCATCGGCCCCTGCAGGAAGTTCAAGCGATGAAAGCTCCAGTTCTCCAGTAGCTAGCGCACCATATTCCCCGGCAGTTAGTGCATCATCTGCTCCAGCACCTGTGGTTTCCCCAAGCACAACTCCAATCTCCATCGAAATCATTCCAACCACTGCAGCTTCTTCCACGCTGACCTCAGCAACCGTCGCCCCAACATCGGCAGCAGCTTCCCCAACAGTTGGCGCCACCACTCCCTCATCCTCAGGAACATCTGGAGCCGTTAAGCCATCAGTCGACGGTCTCTGCTCTGGAGGCAAAACATGTACCGGCTCCGGCTTTGGACCATGTTGCTCCCGAGACGGATTCTGTGGAATTGGCGATGCTTGGTGTGGTGCTGGATGTCAACCCGGCTTCGGAACTTGTGGCACTACCATCAACTCAACTGCCGCTGGCAATCTCATCAGAAGAATCAGAGGAAGAAGTGTCAGAGTTTAAGCGATAAACTGATTGAGTGGGTGAGTGGTGTGAGTTAGGAATCGAATTAGAATCAGAATCGGAAGGCACAGTCTTTGTAAGATAGAAGTCTATTTCTTCATGTCTGTAATGCAGAATATTTATTATTTAAAAAAAGAGAAAAAAAAGTTTAAAATGAAGTAATGTGATGTATATTGGTGATATTGGTGACGTGATGGCTAGAAGAGGGTATAAGCAAATGAACCGTGATGCCGCAGCTTGAATGCATATGATGGGAACTGGCGCAATAAATAAAATTAGAGAGTATGACATTACTAATGCCGATATATAATTTTGCTCGAATACGTGAGATACATTTGTGATACACAAAATTGCGACAAATGCCGGGAATGAATCATCAAAATTCCGAATAATTATATGTTGTGCCCTGATCATCACTGCGATTACTCTAAAGAAAAGGCACATCACCCGTTGGCTCTAAACATACTGCCACTATTCACCGTCTAACCAGCGTAGCGTCTAAACAGGGGTCAAGGCTCAAGCTCCTACCTAAGCTACTCTGGCCTTATTATTACGACGATTACGAGTATCAAAAACAAAAACGATTAAAGCATAAAGCATGCATGTATTCCGCACTTTAACAAAAAATTCAACTTCTACACTCATTTGAAGAACCAATAAAAGGAAAAAAAAACATAACAAGGGAAAATTTCATTCATCATGGAACAGAATGAACCTGCTGGGGCGCTAAGCTGGCGTCTTAGCTCGCATCCTATTACTCTGTTGTGTTTCCTCGGTTTTCGCATTTGTAGGTTTTACTTTGTTTTGGTTGGTTTGGTTTGGTTTTGCTTGCGCATGGTTTGATTTGGATTTCCGGGATTCCTTTTCTTTTTTTTCGAGAGAGAGATGAAAATCGTTGGATGGGCCATATGAGTTGAGTATATTACTGACCTAATGTTCATATAGCAAGTCTCCTCGTCTATCTCTTCGGCATCCTCTTCACGCAAAACTTGCAAGTCTCCTGTTCCTTCCGCTTCCCCTGTTCTCCGATTTTCTAAGCTGACATTCAATCAAATAGTGTCCTGATCTTCATAATAACTATCCTTCTCCTCGCTGCCGATTTCTACTACCTTAAAAATATCGCCGGTCGTCGCCTCGTCGGATTGCGTTGGTGGAATGAAGTAGATCCTACATCTGGCGACTCGCACTGGGTTTTTGAATCCTCGGATCCAAATACCAAAGTTATAAACCCTACGGATAGCAGGTTTTTCTGGCTTGCGCTTTACTCGCAACCATTGCTTTGGGTCGGGTTGGCTTTTGTGGCTATTTTTAGGTTTGAGTTTATTTGGTTGACGTTGATCGGTAAGTTTTACTTTTTCTTGCGGGATTTGGGTGCGGTAATGAATACGTTGAAGTATAGAGTGCATTGCTGATAAGTTCACATGTATAGTGATTGCGTTGAGTTTGACGGTTACGAATACGTTGGCATTCTCGAGGTGCGATAAATTTGGACAAGCATCGAATTTGGCGGGCAGTGCTATGTATGGCTCAGGAATTGCAGGGAGTATTGCGAGTGCTACGCTTGGAAGATTCTTTTCACGTTGAACAGGAGTTGAGAGAGGAAGGTCCACAAGGAAGTTTTGGAAAGGCATGTACGAGCACAACGGTTATGATACCAAAATCAATGAGCTTGACAACTTTGGCCCCTTTTTTTCGACGCAAACGGGTTCGCCACGCCGTGGTTGGAGTCAATATTGTTATGCGAATGTTGCTTGGTAACAATGTTGCAATGGCGGCGTTCAAGTATAAAGGCGTTGGTATTTCAAAGGCTTTTCTGTTCAAAATGAACAAGAGCTAAATTATCACTAGTATGCAATTGTTCGTACTGGGAAGAACTTTCTTCAATGTAACAGTTAGCTCTTCGCAACGAATTTTGATGTCATGCTGCTACTGTGGGGGATTGAGGGATTGAACTTGAAGATCCAAAAAAAAAAAAGAATATGTACTCCAGTATCTGTATGATTAGGTAATGAATGTTTGAAATATTGCGGTTTAAGTAACGCTTTTTATTGTATGGTTCATTTTATTGTGTATGGATCACAAGGGATGACGCCAGTTTGTGGTCATTTTAATATGGTTACTATCTTCTGAAAATACTATTTTTTTAGCAATGTTTTAGGCCAACCGCTCTAGTGGTGGTTAAGTACCATCCATAGATCCTGAATTTTTCATAGAAGAGTCCTTATCCCTCATTGTTCAATTTACGTTTACATATTGAGTTGTACCATTCTACTGTACTCACTGAATCGGGAGTGCTTTCATTGTTAATGTCCCCTTGAAGGCTCGCTGCATAAGCTATTTCCAGAAATGCATACATCTACCCAGATTACGTCCTCTATCTACCCATAAATCAACCCTCAACAACCCCCCCACCATCCCCATCAAAGTCTAGCCATTTTCCTCTGCCTCCCCTCCTGCTCCCTCAAAATCCTCTTCAAAATCTCACCACTAGCATTCTTCGGAATAATCTCCACAAACCTCACTCCGACCATCGACTCTTTATACCTCGCCGACCTCTCCCCACACCACCCACTCCTTCATATCCTTTTTCTTTAGCCTTCTACCTTCCCCCTGTCTTTTCAGCGCATACGCTCGAGGCATCTCTCCATTTGCATTAGACCCCTCGATACCAATGATAGCCACATCGACTATTAACGGGGGGGTGTTGGGGACAGGAGCACAGACTCGGTTTCTAGTAGCGATATGTGGAAACTTTAGATTTTGATGAGCTCTTTTTTTGTGGTTGATTATGTACCAATTTCTTCTTCTTTTGCTGGGGTGGGAAAAAGCGGGATGAGTTGAAGGGAAATTGGTTTGCGGGTTTGTTTTTATTTTGAAAGAGGTGGAGGAGGGGGGTTTAGTTTTGGTTTGTTTATGAATGGGTGGGTGGATGGAAAGTGTTTGATGGTTTGGATTGGATTGGGTTGGGTTGGATGATAGTCTGGTGATGGGAGGGTTTATTTGGTGAGTAGGAATTTCTAATTGAGCAGGCCCATCAAATGATAATATTCTCATATCATTAAACGAATGGAGGTAAGCAAACACAATCATTCTTTTCTAAACCGGCAGTGTGAAATCCGGCAAATAAGTTGCGGATGGCGAAGTTTTAAATACGATATCTTTCACAAATTTGCTAGTTAGTTAATTAGATAAGTCCGCTGGATAAATTATTTCCATTATTGTTGTATATGATACTAGTCATATCGCACACACACACATATACACACACATATATATATTCTCAATACTTATATCCAATTACTAGGTAGATGATACACTAATTAGACTAAATAACCAACAACCAGCCTTGAAAAGTGCAGATTAGTATAGGTTGGTTTTGTTTTGTTTTTGGGGGGGGGGAATACTTCATTGTTGTAAAATGTGAAAGTGATATTCATGATGATGCTGTTATTTCATTAACTTTTGCGAGTATCAAGTATGTTACTGCCGAAAAAGAAATGACCTATATGCTCCTAATATATGAAGGAGAAGTTTATATTTATTCTTCACCTAAGTAATATAAGTGTGTAAACTCCCGTAAATGCTCATCTCTTCTCGGTTAAATCCAAACGCCCCTGATGCTTCCATATCTGACATCACAAGGTATACCCAAAGCATCAAAATGCCACCAAATCCATTCATACCCATATATATGCATATCCATAATCGCAAATCGAATACTAAGCACTAATTGTCATCTCTGGTTTGAGTTCAGTCAAAGGTGCGCTTTCCGTCTCCGTCAAAGTCGAGGATTGGGCAGGATTTTCAAGACTTCGAATTTTCTTTTGTTCCCCTCCGTCCTCCTCCTCATTCTTTCTTTTCTTCTTTGCTGCCTTTGCTTCTGCCTTTGCTTGTGCTTGTTTGAGTTTGTGCTCCTCGACCTGTTTATCAGAGATTCCGATTTTCTCGTCCACATCTATTGCCTGTTCGAGTAAACTTTTATGACCTAAATGGTCGCATAACTGCTGGTAGTTTTTGGACTGCTGAATGGCCCGATATATTGGAGATTTTCCTGGTATCAGGTGGTTTAATAGATATTTCGTATTTCCGAACCTGTTCTCCATGTCCAGACTGAACTTCATATACTGGAGAACCACCTCTTCCCATGGTGCCAAGCCACCATCAGCTTCACTTCTAAAGCAACTTGAATTTGCTTCGGCTGCCACAGCAATCATAGCACCATTTGTACCATATTCTTCGGCCAATTTTAAGGCCTGATCTCTATTTTCTACGTCTCCATTCATCAAACAAGCGATACCACTCTCACGACAGATATCCGCGATCATCTTAAGTTGCCCTCGGATGGCTCTTTCCCTTGGACGCATTGGCGTAGTTCGACAATGGATAGTGAGGCCTGTAATACCAGTAGCACAAAGCTTTCGTACCAGAGCCTCAGTCCTCTCAGGAGTTTCCAATAACCGTATCTTCACACTTATTCCAATTTCAAATTCTGGTACAATTTCCTTGACTAAAGCTTCGAGAATAGCGCATAATTTATCTGGGGTTTGTAGAAGTGCTGCCCCCATACCGCCACTTGTACTGAATGGTTTCGGACATCCTGCATTTACATCAATGCCCGCAACGTCTGCGGCCACCATGCGCGCACATTGGACTGCTTTTTCTGGATCGGATGTGCCGATTTGAAATATGAGTTTTTTGCCTTCGAGTTCTGGATGGAGGCGGAATATGAGGCTTTCATTCAGATTTGCATTCTTTTCTTTATGTCCTTGAGAAGGGAGCCGCGTAAAATCGATTGTATTAAGGGCGGTGTTCACTTTTCGTGTTGTTCCAATCATGGATCGATCAACCGTCTCGGGGCCTTGAACTCGTCAGTTTGTTAACTACCTAGTATAGCTGTAGATTCCATACCCCATACCAAATCTGCTCCATAGTGAAGAGCAAGTAAACGTGAAGGAAGTTCGCCGGATCTCACCATAGGAGCACTGATGACAATGTTAGTAACTTCCTGATGATTACCATTTGCGACACCTCAAACTCACAGTACTATCTTGCCCCTATAGTCCACACCTTTCCTAGGAATAGGAACTTTCTTGGGGATTGAGGTCATGATAAAAGATGTGAGACGTTGCATAACATTGTATTCACAGATTATTGTGTCGAATCGTGGGAAAGAAAAATAACGCTTGTCATAAATTCGGAAAAATAGTTCCACTATCAGTTGACACGTGATAGATAAGGATTGTGTGGAGTAGCCAATCACAGAAGCTGCATGGCTATCTTCTAGGAAGTATTGCCACCCACCTCTTTCCCTACTACGCCATGTATATTGACTACGATCAATGTCATGCGCAAAAGTCCAAGTGGACATGGAACAACTAATGGCATACTACATAGGTAGGTCAGATAAACGTCTCAATATAGATGAACTTGAGTTAGACATCAGTAGGCGATCACAGTTGATAGTATTCTCCCTGAATCCCGAATCAAATATGCAATGTTCGAGTGGATATAACTCCCCATGATATTTGAAGTATGCATTTCCTTCCTCCTGTCCCATCATAAAAACAAATCGACATATTGTCCATCCTCAAAACAGCGCTTGAGTAAAGCAAAACCCATATGGTATCCAAAATCCATCCGCTAAACACCTCCCATCACATAAAACCAATGTACATAATGTCTTCATTCCATTTCCCTATCGCCAAAGAAATCCATGGTATCATTCAGCAATGCTAATCTCCAAAGATTTGTCGTAAAATGTATTTTGACCTAAGAGTTATTAGATCGATTATACTTGATAATGATAGCAGAGCAGAACGTACTGTTTGTTGCTCAACGAAAGCAGTTGAGACCGCAGAGACGCATACGAAAAACAGGTCTTCTAAGACCGTGTCTATCCGCCGACACATTTGCGCCAAATCTCCTACCTCCAACTCCCTTTGACCAGAAAAAAGGCATAGTGGCGAGTGATGTGGTTGAATATTTTATTGATTGCTGCGATAGTGGGTGGAGGTTGATTTAGGATATGTGAGTGAAGATCTTGCTTGTATTCTGATTGTGGGAATACTCTGTACTTCGATTGGAATTTGATAACGAGGTATCATGCATAATATATCCAGATCATTATTCTAGAGTCAGGGCGCAGTGAATGATGTCGAGCCTTTCGGTTCCCAAAACCTGTTTGCTGGCTTGGCATAAAATCTGAAAGGGGCTTTGCTTTCCCAGCCGCTTTGAGGGCTAGAAATCAACCAAAAAAAACCTTTTGCCCAAAAGTCTACATGATAATTCTTTTAACATTTTGACATCAAGTCGTTGAAGTGGGAATCTCCTTCATTTCCTTGTTTTTCCTCGTAACCTAAGATGTGCAACAAACAGGAAAACCCTGCCATCTATTATTGACATACTCCTCTAATGACCAATGACACTGGGTCATTGAATAACCTGTTGACTTGAACAATTGTGCAATGAGACGCGGAATCTTGAATATTAGCGGCTATGAACTGCTGTTCAACCAAGCTGGCGGATTTGAATGGAGAGAAGGGACATCAGTTTGCAGTCTAACGAAAATTACAAGGATACGCTGGCCACATATCATTCAGCGACCTTCATTACAATAGGCTTGGATGTCGGCAAAGGTGTATGTGTTTGGAGCTCCTTGCCAAATAATTGAGCCAGGTTTCTTTGGGAACTATAATCGTTCTGTGGTGCCCGTACCATAAACAGACAATGACGGAGAGCTCAAAAATCCAATTTGCGCGGCCCGCAGTCCTTGGTTTTCTGTGGTTTAAGGGCAGAGACTCAGATTCAGGAACAGGTTATCAGTTATTGGCTAGGCATCAACATTTAGTGAATAAAGATATTTACAGAGAGCCAACTCCCTCTGGAGCAACATCATGGCTCTTTTGATACCAACAAGCAAGTGATAGATTAGCAACCGACTCCAGAACCCACTAATAAGCATTAGGCGCACCATTCTTGACGCTTCCATATGGCTCCGCAGGATAATCTCCAAAGCAAGCATATTCATACTGAGCTTCTTCTGTAGATTTACTCTGCACTTTCAAAAAAGTTTCCAGCTCACACCACCCATCCAACCTATCAACTCCACACTCCAAGAAACTGAATCCCAAAGGTATCGTTCTCTGGTTGAGAATGAAGTGTATATACGTAGTTTCCTTTCCATCGATATACGTCCTATTCGCTGCTAATGGCTTTGGTGTCTTAATAAGTTCGATGTCTAATCTTGCTCCAAAAGGCTCCAGGTGCGAGACGGTTAGATTATGTGGACCAGGATAATGGGTAGCTGGTAAGGGCGTGGCGAATTGTAATAGAAACCAAAAGCGGTGAGAATAGACATGATGT